ACCTTTCCGAGAACAGGAACAGGTGAGCCCGTCACACTATCTCTCTCCGCACGTATGACCCCAGTTCGTACCGACGCACTGCGTAGAACGCGACGCGAGCCGACAGGAGGATCCGACGTGGGAGGACTACTCGCGAGCGGGGTCAACGAGGATCGCGTGAGCGGAGTCAGTGAGGATCGCGCGAGCGAAGTCAACGAGGATCGCGCGAGTAACGCGCCCTCTACTCCTGCAGCTTCGTCTCCGCTCTCGTCGTCAACCCACTGCTGAGCGCGCCGTCTACGCGCGGAAGCTCCGACTTCGCGATCGCTTACCGGATCGGTAGGTACGTTGTCGACTGCGCCGTCGAAGTCCACGACCTGCGCCGCTGCCTCTGCATGGCGCGCTGCCTCTGCGCGGCGCTGTGTTGCCACCACTAACCTTTTGGCAGCACTTCTGTTTCTTTTTTTCTTGTTTTGATCTAACCCGGCATCTGCGATGACGTCCGTCACGGTCTCAGCGTCCGCGATGCCGTCTGACACGGTCTCGGCATCCGCGACGACGTCTGACGCGATCTCGGCATCCGCGACGACGTCCGACACGGTCGTGGACACGACTGACGGCGGCCCCCTCATCCGGGGACGTGGAACCTATCAAGAGGTCAATATTTCACCCGTAAGTTCATTTGTTTGTCCTTACCACTTTTCTCTGATGTTTTCCAGTCGCAGCCACCCCGCGCTCCGTACCGAGTCCCGCTGCGACATCGCGCGCCCACCTAGCGGACTTTCGCGCTGCGCGGTTCGGGCGTGTCACATCCGTCCTATCGAGTGCGCGCGGTCCTCCGGGCCTCCCGATGGCCTGCGCGCAGTTTCATTATGAGGTAAGTCCTTTGTTACAAGGTGAGTACTTACCTGCCAGCCGTCAACCTCCGTTACCGTCTCCGTATCCCCCTGTTCTCTGTTGTCCGCACTCGCACCCTCGGGCTGAACATCCACGCCTTCCGGAGCGCCTGCTATCGACAGCGCGCGCTCCGGAAGCTTGTTGTTACTGGAGTCCTGCATGTTAACTAAGGTACGTACTTAAGCCTAGTATGTTTTGCAGGTAGACGTCAGCAGAGAGCAGCGGTAAGGAAATCTCGCTACTTCCGGATACGCAGACTGACCTTGATTTAGGGTTCCTCGCTCGATTGAGCGACGGACATTCAATGTCCAACAACCGCATCGAGCGCACCGCGCGCGAACCCTCTCAAACCATCCAACGCAACTAAAGGTATGTCTCAAATCTTTCATTCTATAGCTCTACATTTACTGGTTTTACATGTACATTCAGGTCCTCGCCACTCAAACTAGCATCCCCCAGCCGGCCGCCCTCCCGCTCGACACTCCTCTCGCCCTCGCGCCCCATTCTCCCGCGCCCGCGCACAGGGCGCGCTCTCCGCGTTCCAGGCGCTCCTGCCCGACCTCCGTGCGGGCGCGTTCCTGCGCTCCTTCACATCCAATACAGACCGATATACCCTTCGTGACCACGCTCAGCACGCCCTCTGCCAGCATATCCCCCTCCAGCAACCGTGCGATCATTGCCGGTAGCGTCGTCGGAGTCGCTGCATTCATCGTCCTCTCGCTCGCTATGGCCGTTTGCTATCGCAGACACCAACAGAAGAAGCCCATCTTCTTCTGCCGTTCCCGCCCCCTGCCACGCAATATGCTTCTCGCCGGTGAGGACATGGACGATTACGACCTCGGCCCGCCCATGTCCTCCTACCGCGATACCCCCGGGACTGGCTCCGCGCCATCCCTCGCTTCGCATGCGACGTCCTACAACGCCGGCTCTCTCCAAGGCGTACCTCTTGTTCCTCCCGCTCCCTTCGCCGACCCGGGCCGTGTTTCGTACTCCCCACACCTCATGGGTATGCGTACCTCTGAGTCTGGCTCGATTTTCCACGAGGCCGTCTGGCCTCCTCCGCGTTCAGCGCTTGTAGACCCGCTTCTGGTGTCCTCGGAAGACCTCTCGCACATCGTTGACGACGTTATGGGTCCCGCCAACCCATCGGGCGGCGACAGCAGTCCAGGCTCCGGTGCCGGCGCCGTGCGCTTTCCCGGGTCAGTCGCTACTGCCGGACAGGCGACGCACGCGCGCGCACCCTCGGAGGACCCGCTCATGGGCGGTGCGCTCGAGTCGCCCTCGCACTCGCCACGAGCACCCACGTGGTGCAGTCCGCTCTCCGTGACAAACATGGGCTCCGAGACCGCGTCCGTACGCACGGCAGCCAGCCCACCGCCCGGCGCGTGGAGCCGGTTCTCGCAGGGGCAGTCTCGTCCAAGCCACGACGACGAGGGAGGCACGTACGCCATGTGTGAGGCACTCTAGGCTGGCCTGCCTGCTTGGAAAACACCCGCCTTCTGTTTCTGTTGCTCAGCATAATTCGCTTAGGGCCGCCTCCGGTGGCCCCGCTGACCTTATACTGCATGATCCTGGATCGCAATTGTGTACATTATGCATTTCTGCTTGGACTTTCCATACGGACTCGGACCCATATGCTTACTGGACTCGTCCCCATGCTTGCATCTTTCGGACACTTAGGCACTTGTCCCCACAATCATTAATGGCCACCCGCGCAAGCATGGATATTTCCCGTACCAAACTGAGACTACCTACTACGCAGATCGTCCATGTAAGTGTAATGATGCTGGCACCCGCGCCCGCAGCAGCGCCGTATCCACCACCAGACGACGACCCTGTCATCGCGAGCGACGGCCCTGGAGAGGGTTGCCGGAAGTCCGGCGCATACCCCGCGCCCGGCTGGGCATATCTGCCGCTGTAGGCCGAATAGTCGGGGTAGTGCTCCGAGGATGAAGGCGCGTACTGTGACGCGCTCTGGCTGTAATGTGACGGCGCAGAGACTGTCGGGGGACTCATCGAGCGGTGTGTTGCGGCGGCACTCACACCAGCACCTGCGATGCCGCCCGCCAAGAATGCAGGGACGTTGTCGTGCTGGCGCATCTCATCCGAGCCCGTGGCGGAGCTCGAGGGACCTTGTAAGCCGGGTCCAATAGCGCCCGAGCCCGCAGGATTGTACGTGTACGGCTCGACATCGTCGGCACCTGCGAGGTCGATATGGGGAAGCGTACCGCCGCCGCCGACACGATCAGGGTCGAAGTTGCCATCAAAGTCATCACGCCTCCTGCGACGGAAAAGCAGGAAGACGAGAGCAGCGAGCAAGAGGGCACCGCCGACACCGCCAACGACACCTCCCACAATCGCGCCGGTGTGTGATTTGGAGGAGGATGCGTCACTGGGTGAGGTCGACGAGGATGTGGAGGTCGAGGAGGACGAAGACGAAGACGTTGAAGACGACGTTGACGAAGCAGACGGCGACGAAGAAGAACCTATGGACGTGGATGAATGCGGATCAGAGCTTGTCATCGCATTCGCACATGGTCCATCCTCGGGGCATCCGCACCTGCGAGGAGCTCCTAAACATACGGTACATGCGCTCCTCGTACGCAAGGCGGCTGAGAAGGGGCTTGTGGAGGCCGTACGTCAGGGCCTTTTCTGCTTCAACGCCACCGCGATCCTTGGATTGAAAGCTCGAGGTACCGGCCGTGATTGTATGTACCGGCGTCTTGACGCTGTCGCGAAGCGGCGTGAGTGCCGTGGTGTGCTCTGCAAGCCTGTGCTTTGCCATTGAATACATCGAGAGCTGGTATACTCAGTGAATAAGTAGCTTAGACGTCGAATACCGTGCTGCTTACCTATCCTGTATGTCGCGCACGCTCCTTTCCTACACGGCGTTCCCTGTGCGCAAACAGTCCCTCTCCCTCGTCCAATCTTTCACCAACTACGGCGTTGTCCTCTCATTCCTGTCCCCCCTCTCCGTACGCCGTTCCCGCGCCCTCCGGTCTCGTGCCTAACCTCGAGATGTTTGAGGGGTTGCGCGCGGGTCCTTCCTGTCGACAGAGATGAGTGGTGAAGAGACAAGATGCTCACCGTTTA